ACATTATAAATATTTATGTTGTGATAAGCACGAGAAAAATTGTTTAAGATAGCCATTAGTTATTTTAGAGGGGTACATTCTACGATATGTTGAATAATAAAAATGACAACAATGATATTAATAACAAAAAATTACGTCTGCTAGCTCGGCAATGTTTTCTATCAAGATTGCAAATGATTCACTTAATAATCAAAGAAACTATTAAACCCAAAATCAATGTCACAAGAGAATAATTTTTTTTGTTCCTAAAGATTACGCGTTTGGGAGAATTATCCAGTTTTTAAACAAAGACGATAGAAAAATATTAACGGTTACGGGTGATTTGAGTACTTCCAAAAGGGATCAGAATATTTTTGTAATTACTTCCTAATAAATATATTCAAATGGTTACAAAGTTACTACAAAATGTAGTCGATTAGAAGTGCTTTGATTAATTGTAGTTAGTACTGTACAAATAGGTCTGCTTTACTGTATATAAGTGAGACATTTTATCATCCTCTGCAGCACCACTGCAAGCCTTGGGTGATTAAGGTGCATCACACAGTGGTGATTACACAACGGCACGCCGGCACGATGCTTATCCAGATTGAAATAAACAGGGGTGGGGATTGAACCCAGAATCCCACTGTCATTATCTGCTACTGGGTTGCGCAGAACGCACACGCGCAGTTGACGACTTCCTGAAAATGGCGCACGTCGCAAGGGCATTGATACTTCATCAATTGAGTAAATGTCTCATTGACTTTGAGAATTAAGATGTTTACCGCGGTGTTCTAGCATTTAAACAGTACGGAAATTAGAAAAAAAGTATAACTTGGGCTGTCGTCAAAAGGTGATATACGTGAAATAAAGCGAACGAACCAGTTTGAGCGAAAGCGCTTTTAAAGCAGCAGCTGTTCAAATAGCTCATATTTTCAGGACGACATAATTTTTGTAGCCGACTAAAACACCTGCTCCCCTTGAACTTCTTGAACTTTTTTTTTATTAATTGAGAGCAGCAAAATGTGACACAGGTGAGACATTTTGAAGAAATAGGACGAGAAAGTGGGTTGAAGAAAGTACGCATGGATGAAGGCGGCAGTTTGTTATGTTACTGTTTTCAAAGGTTAAAAGCGCAAAACAACAAGGATGAAGAAAAAAACGCGCACGAAACAGAGGGCGCCTGTCTGTAACGTCTGTGATTTCTTCTTCTTCCTTGTTGTTTTGCGCTTTTAAGATTTGAAATCAACATGAACCAACTAGCTGAAAACAGTCTTAATGTTAGGTTACTTTTCCTTAGTGAAATATGATTCTTAGGTGGGCAAAATAATTTCATACTAGTCAGTGGATCATTCATATTAAAGAAAAAAAAAGGTTTAATTTGGTTTAATTTGGAAGAGTAAAATGTGCAGCTTGTTTTGGAGGTTATTAGTTGAGTTTCAAATTGGTACACCAATTAAAATTTCCGTCCAAAATTACGCAGGGGAATTGCATGTTAACCTTCTCGCGTTACAGTTCTGCTATTTGCTTTGTTACACACTTCCGTTGCCCACTTCCTTTACACTTCAGATTATTCTTTTACAGAACCCCAGTCATATAGACGCTTTTCTCGTGGCGGCCGCCAAGGTGAATTTCGAGGTAGCTGTGTTGGGGAAAAATAAAAAATCGCTTTATTCGGAAGTTTAATAGTGCTCGAATTGAAGAGGTTCGTACCAATATGTAACATTTTTCCTTGACTAGAGTTTTTTTTTTTTTTTTTGCTTAAATTATTTATTTCTTGTCGCCCAACACCCAACTACGTGATATTTCAAAATGGCAACCGTCACACGAAATCGGTCTATAGGGCCAGGGTTCTATAAAAGAATGTACCGAAGAAAGTGTAACCAAAGGGGGCAACAGGCGATATCCCACACTAACTGCTGATCGAAAAATGCAGAGGAATAGAAAATGGGTTTACAAGGGCGAGGTCATGAATAATAAATTTGAATGCTAGGCAAGGTGACGCAAGATACCCCCCATTATAAAGGGTACAGCTATTAGCATCCATCCATTCATCCTATAGAAAGTTTGTGTAAACAAGGAGAATGCTACCTCTTACGGTAGCACCACGCGCCATGAAAGGATCATATGTTGCGGCTCTCCTTCCTCCCAATCGTATGGCTACATTGTTCTAGGAAGAAGGAGTGTCGTAACCGTGCCTTGATTCCTGTCAGAAACTGTGGAGCTGCTCGTACATACTAACGCGATATTGTTCAGTCCTAATGAACAAGCCAAGATAGTTTTCTTTCGCGATGGCTAAACTGTTTACTTTGCATAAATTAATTAGCAACACTTTGAAATATTCGTTCGTTCGCAAAACGTTTTATGCGAAATTTGTAGAGCCTGTTAAGAAGCACCATACTATGTCTTTTCCATTCAGGTAGCCTTTCTTCGAGACGCTGTCTGTCCACTTTATTTTGTCCCATCTACATTGTCCTCAAGTTGCTTTCCCATTCTCAGGTTTAAACATTACGATGAATACGTACCTGGTGTAGGAACAAATGATCCCGGAACTAATGATCCCGGAACTAATGGTCCCGGAACAAATGGTCCCGGAACAAATGGTCCCGGAACTAATGGTCTCAAATCGAACGTAGGAAAAAATGGTCCCGTAAGAATATCGTTTTGAAACTAAGACTTTGAAACTCGTGTCGCCAAAAAGCCGGCGTCGGCGTCGGTGGGACGGGAAAATCATGATTGGTCGATAGGGTCATGACGTCACAGCCAGCTGACCTCGCGCGGGAATTTCAAACAGAACACAACGCTCACACGAAAGGTGACTTAACGCGTGGAATAAAAGTGAGTAAAACATGACATATGGTGGGAATTAAAGGTCGGCGTATGTCTCAAATTATTTCACTTTATAAAGCGATTCATTTACCTTAAAAAAAAATTAAAGAATTTTAGGCGGAGGCGGGGTTCGAACTCACGACCCTTCGGATGCAAGTCAGACAACTTCGACGCTTCCGCGCGTTTTTCTGTCCCTGTTATCATCCTCGTTGTTTCACCGCCAGCCTCGCTTCCCTCGCGCTCTGAGTCTTCCAAAAATTTTTTTAAATTTAGTGGTTTTTGATGACTATCAGTACCTTTTTAATTGGGGCCATATGTTTATTTTCTCTTATTTAAGTCGGTGGTGGTGGAGTGGGGGGGGGGGGGGGGGGGGGGGGGGGTTGTGATGTTTGCCTGACGTGAGGTTTATCTTACTGGCTGTGGAAAAGTTTCGCGGGCTCGGGCTATTGCATTTTTGTTGAGAATGAATTCAGGATAAAGGAAAGGGAACATATGGCGATGAGAAATATAGGATGATGAAGCGCAGGTTAACAAAACAAAATAAAATAAAGAGTCAGCAAGAAAACAATCAAAAATGAGAAAATGGGTACATTTAAAATGCAAGTATCACAAGGTGTTCACAAAGTCTCCACCGGAAAATGCACGACAAGACTATCACTAACTTATTTAAGGAAACAATTATAAGATGAATAGACGTATGGAATGACAGCCTGCTTCATAATCAACTTCACAGACAGAGACGCAAAGCGAAAGATGGGTTTAGTATGGACGCAGGTATACGGTATAGGCGCCACGCATAATAAATCGCCTTCAATGTAGGTGCGATACCACTAATACGAAGTTCCTACCCTACTTCATAGCCCATACACAGTGTTTAAAAAGGGCAGAGGTGATGAAAAACAGCGCGAAACACAAGGACGCAGAGGAGAGAAATACACACAGGATATAGGGTCTTCTTTTTCTTTCACTCTGGGGTTGCTTCTTTTTCATGCTTGCGGTCAGCACTAACATCATCCTGCATCCGCAAAATGAAAGTAAGCTTCTGCGCCCAAATCGCCAGGCTAAGGGACTCGAACTTTCCAAACATGGTCATCTCATCGGTCTGTGACGAACTAATTCGTAACATCAAGATGAATCCCGATCACAAAGATAAAGCCATAAAGGGCAAAATGAATGTAGCAGTCATACCATACCCAATATTCACCGCCTCTCTAATGAGATAGAGGGAGTGGCCTCGAGATGCGGGGTCAATGTCGTATTCTCAGCCCCCAATAAACTAAGCAGGATTGTAACCGTAATAAAAAAAGAAGAAAAAAAAAACGCGAAACGTAAGCAGTCAAACAGAACACCACCAATGCCAAATTTAGCAGAGCATGAAGCTGGTATCTTGCGAAAAGGGGACAGTCTATGAAATCCCCTTCTTCGGCGGACACTCATACATCCGTCAAATGGGGAGGTGCTTAAAAATCAGGCTTTGCGAACATCACAGTTCGTTAAAAGAAGGAGCGAATTCCATTTAGCATTACATCGCCGTGACGGCGGCTGTGAACCACGGTTCAGAGACACAAATATATTGTACGAACACCAAACTCAGTTGTCTAGGAAGATAATTGAGGCCTACCAAATAGCAAAAAAAAAAGAAAGCAACGTGCGTGAGCCAACCATCAGTGAAACTCAGGGACAGTGATATGATTGTTTTGGTCCTTAAATAAATATACTTCGAAGAAACGAAAAAGAAGTGAAAAAAAGACCCTATACTCGCGAATTTTCAAAATAAGGAAGTTGAGAGTCAGCGCCTTGTCCCGTGTGTGTTTCTCTCCTCTTTGTCCTTGTGTTTCGCGCTGTTTTTCATCATGAACGCATACCAACTAGCACAACTGTCCATTCTAATGAGGGCAGAGAGATGGGCGTGTTAGCGCACAACTTACCCCGCTCCCCCATTGATGCACATACGCACACACTCCGTGCGACGCATCGCCATTGGTCGCGCGCGCTATGACGTCATACTAACGACTGCGCTCCGTTTGCTGACACTCTCCCCCGTGGCCTATTCGCGGTGCGGACAACACCAACAAGAGCAAGCAAGATCCGTGAAGGGTTCGCACATCAAGCTAGCCCTTCAAATTCGGGTAGGAACGGAGGGATACCTGACTCTACGCATAAATGAATGCACACTGTGCTTCGTAGTGTACCGGTCCGGATGGGGTAGAGTCCGGTCATGAGCGCCGCTCTGGAAGGGGTGCAAGACGGCTGGACGTAGTAGTTATTCAGGATGATGCCGTCCGCGGCCAGGACGTCCATGTTGGGTGTCGGTATCTGAGGAGACCCGTGGAAGCTGACGTCGTCCCAGCCCTGTATATAATCAGTTTGCCCCCTTTATGGTAGAGGGCCAATTTACCCTTGCTCTGACTCCCCAGGAAAGAGAAAGGTCTGATAATATTTTTATAGTATTATCAAGAAATTGCTCCTTGTGAACAGGCGTCAGAATATAGCTGAAAACATGTGGCGAATAACCCGGCATAAGCACGGGAAGCATGTAAAAGAAAAGAAGGTTTAGTAAAGAGTGTTTTAGATATTCATTTATCTTACAGACTGCGCGGGTTTGGAACAGGCTACCTGAAAGTTTTTCGGGCGCCCGTAGCCGGAAGGTGCTCAGATTCCTAATTTTTAACGCTTGATAGCGGCACAGGCTGTTTCCTATATTAAAAAAGTGTATACTGCACATGTTTAATTTATGAATCGGGCTTATTTCGAAGAACTGGAGCGCGGCTAGTATTTGGCTGTGTTTGGAACTGATTATTGGGCTGTTTTATATATCTTGCGAAATATGATTACTGCATTCACTCCTATCCTGGTTCCGGGAGGAACTGATAGTATGATCAAATATTTAGTAATAATAATAAGGATATAGATAATGGAAGGAACATGGTTGTTAAAAATAAAGTGAGGCCTGTTTAAGGATGGCAGCTGTATAGATTTCGGTATTGCACACAGAATAGACCGAAGAAGCCAAGGTAGATCCAAGCTGGATAATCCTTCGCCGTACTCTGAATATCTTGGTGCTTGCTAAATCGCCAACACGTACCAGTTAGGCTTTACTTCCTTGCTGTTTCTTTTTTCACGTGGCATCTTTGGGCCTCAATACCCGAACAAATGCCAGAGTTCGGACTCACTGGTGATTATTGTGTTATCATCTGGCACCTCTGAACCACAATTTCCGAGAAAATGCCAAAGTTGAGCTTCACAGCTGGCTGTTTCTTTCTTTTTTTTTTTTTTTTTTTTACCGGTCCTTTTTTGTTTATGTATGGCACTTGGAAACTTCTTTTACGAACCAGAGAATGGTCAAAGTATGGTTTTTATGGCGATAATTAGGGCAAGGCAAAGTACCTTGACCCGAATTTGCCTCCTGAAGCCAACTCCTATTAGTACCAATTGAGGCACCTTGGATTGACACAATTGGGACAAATTCGGTTTTTCTGTGGTGTAACACGTGTGAAACGCACTCATTTCATATTCGTTTAAGGCGTTGCTATGCTGAAGCTCGGTGGCAGTTTTATATGACAATAAAGTCAATGCAATGAGCTCCGTTACGCTCGCTTCCATTGATCGAAGATCGGCGCTACGCAAACGAGCTCTTCACTTCTTAATTTTTGCTCCAAGTTGTCCCCAAGTGATCAAGTTAGCGAAGAGCTTTAGTACTTTAAAGAATATTTTGACACGTTTATACATACGAACCATATCATCGGTGAAGAGAAAAACGATGTTTGGACGTATTTTGCTCCGAGTTGCAGCCGCAGGGAACGAAAAGAAAGCAACCAACACGATCATTACAAGTGAATCTGCCAAGAAAAGAAATTCGAAATAATTAGGAATAGAAGACAACACACAATATTTCACAAACGTCAAAGGAAGTGTTTGTCCGATTAAAAAAAGTTGTGAAGCACGAGCAAAATGTCACGAGCCGTTCAAACAAACTTAAAAAGGACTGGCTGAAAACATTGATATTAAATGCATACAAGGTAAAAATCAATTTGAGTGTCAACCGCTATTCCCCCCCCCCCCTCCAATATTCCATTGATATCTGCAAACTGAAATTCAAACGAGTTTTTCATCAATACAAACATTTTAACCGATTTTGATTTAAGGTTTATTCATTGTTTGCTAGCATTTTTATATCATATGTATAGTATGCATTTGCGCATAATTAGCCAGACTGTGAGTCAAAAACTCTCTGCGATATATATGTTTTACTATATCGCCCGTCATGTAGTGCACTTCATTAGAAGTGCCTTTGAGGAATAACTGAACTGAACTGAATTAGTCGCCCAAGTTCTGCGGAGATTTAGAATTGCGGTTGTTCTCTTTAGATAGGCATGTTCTTTAAATTCCTTACGAACATAACCTACTAGCACTGATTTTTTTAAATAAAAAATGACACGTTTACAACTTCCTGTAACGCCGATGTGGAGAGCAGCTCTTGAGGAGGAAGAGGGGAGGGTACTGAGGGGAAGATGTGCCCCTCCTCCTCATCCGTATCCTCTCCTCCTCCCCTTCTCTTTTTACGCGCAAAATGCGCGTCCACACGCGATGTTTCGGCGCGGTGACGTTTTGGCACCGACCTATTATGCACCGCATGGTTACGGCGACGCCGACGCCGACGCCGCTTAAGCCGAAAACGGGCGCCTAAGAGATGCGCTCTAGAACGAGAGAGAAAGAAAGTATTCTCCACACTTGTTGATATAGTATATACACCCTAATATTGTTTATACTCAAATGCGTTCGTTCACTGGAGACATGCGCAACCGGCCTATGTATTGATTTGTACTTCGAAGAGCGAAGCTTTTCTGTGTGCGGCATCCCACGGAGCCGCCGTCTTTACACGAGGTAGCGAACATTTAGGGAAGAGAGGTCTTTCCTTTTCACAATTCTTTAGAACGCATTACGTAACAACTTAGTTTTGAATGGACGTGTTTCTTTTACTTCTTTTTTATCGTTGTTGTCGCCTTGCAATGGCTCCGTGACTTCATCAAAATGTTTCCGCCGCTTTTTTTTTTTTTTTGCCGGGGAATTAACGTTGTATATGTTGCAAAATGAACTTTAAACGTCAAATTACGAGGTTTTCAATTTATTTATTTATTAAAGTGACTAAACAGTCAGTGACCCGTGTTTGAAAGTTGACAAACTATCTCCGCCATCTGTGTTCGGCAAGACATTGAATTTTTCCATGTACGTATAAATCCCTGGTATCTTTTCTCTGCAAAAGTTAAAAATAACGTTCGTTTTTTGCTCGATTTCAGAGGACGATATCGCGAACGACGCCAACTAATTCGAATGATGCACTCACGATGCCTTTTTGGTTTGAGCCGTTCCGGAGACCAACGACATTGGGACTGTTCCTTTTGTGCTACCTAGCGAACATGTTGATTTATAAGCACAGTTAAAATGAACTGTTGGGCTAGTTGGTTATTCCCTGTCCATTTTTCCTTCCGATCTTAGTCTTTTTCACTATAATTTGTAAAATTATAAGCAGAGTTCAGTGTTTTTGGTGTAATCGATGAACCCTAAAAGATAACCCCCGATCAGTTTGTGTAAAGATTGGGGAATACAGAATGACTCCCCATTGAGCTGTCCTTAAATGACAAAAGCGACGCTTCACGGGAAGAATTTGTATATAAAACTTCATTCTGTGTTTATCAGGAACACAGCTTCCATTGAACTGTCAGCACAGATGCATGTTTCTTCTAAAAACATACTCTGTCCCGTTTTTATTTTTATTTTACAGCTACCAGCAGCTCTCAATTAAAGGGGCGGGGGGGGGGGGGGGGGGGGCTAGGGAGGGCTGGAGCCTAGGGCCACACCTGAAGAAAGGGGGGGGGGAGGGGGGGGGGCCCTCGCTGGGCTCTCGGTGCAGGGCCTTTCTGCCTCGTAGGGTGCGAACGACCCCCCCCCCCCCCCTCTAAAAAAAAAGAAACGTTTTTTGATTTTCTTTGTGTGTTTGTTGCTGGCGTGTCAAAGAACCGGTTTGGTCGTAAATCACTGTGGTCTAGGACAGTTGCCACTCGTCACCAATGTGTCCGAAGCACTATAGTGGCATCAATTTCCTGTCGGCTTCGTCAAATTCTTTTTCTTCTACAGGGTCATTTTACTTTTTCCATCGCCGACCATACTTTGTTTCATCTCTCGTTGAACCACAACGGAAGGCTAGGGGCCTCCACAGCCAATCAAGTGCCAGTCCAGAGGTGTCGTCACGCACTAATACACGCCCGAGAAGCCAGGTGACGTCACTTCTGAACTTGCGCTTGATTGGCTGTGGCGGCTCCTAGTCTTCCGCTGCGGCTCGACACAGGAGAAAACGAAGTGGGCAACAACACTTTTCTTTCTTTTCTTTGCAGGTCGTTAGAAACCGATATTTCGAAGGGGGGGGGGGGGGGGGGGGGGTACTGTACTTTCTCGGTGGCATTGGGGTGTTTTGAAGCCCCAATCTTTGGCTAAACAACAGAAAACTCTTTACGGTGGCCGATCATTAAGGGGTCCCTCTTTGTTTGGGCGTCTGTAAGCAGTCTATTTTTAATTTTTGCTTGCCACTTCACTTTTCGGATAGCGGCACGTTGACAATCGCCTAATCCACGTCTTTTTTTCTTTCAAATTACAACCAAACCCGGACATTACAGCCGCTCGATTTACGGCTGTCAAAATGCGTGTCCCGCTTGGCGCACGTACAGGTATCATTTGTTTCATTTAAAATTGTCTGTTTCGAGAAAGCATTGTACGCAGCCTACCCCAAAGCATAGCCCTGCCTAGAGAGAACAATTATGGCAATCATTCTCAAGACCCACTTGCTGCGTGAAAAGTGTATGGTAGGAGGAGCCACAAACACAGGTATTTCGGCGCATTGGCTCTTGATTGGTTCTGCTGGGTTGAAAGTCTGCACATACGCGCGGACAAGGCAGTGACACAGCGTGTTTTTTTAGATTTGATTGAACTAGCTTATTTTCAGCATTAGTGTTATTCACGCGCAAAAGGGAATAGATAAGAATGTATTCTGTATGATACTGATTGTATTATTGTATAATCGAAAATTGTATCTTAAATACTCTTAGCATTCGAAGCGGGGACGCTTTAATATATTTTTTTACTGAAACTTTGCAGTTTTGACCAACATTATCATCATCATCATTGTCGTCGTCATCGTTATAATCATCATCATCATCATCTCAAATTTCGGGGCCCTGGCCAGCATTAGCTTTGGCTCAGAAATCCCTTAATCCGGCAAACTTGGAAACAGCGCGAAAAAGACAAGGGACCCTGGTTTTTTTCGCGCTGTTTCCACGTTTGCATCATGATCCAACAAGCCCAACTTCACGCCTTGTTGCCCTTAATCCGGCCTTGGCTACCAGGTCGTTTCCCAGGTATTTGAATAACACGCATGTTTATTGAAGGTTAAGGAATCCCGTGCTCTCCATTATGCCCTCATAAATGTCGATTTTTTTGTTCAACACCAAACAACTGCAAACCTGAGTAAAAAAAAAAAACACGAACCAGCAAAGCAGAAACTTTACTTAAATTAAACTAATTATGTCTTAGGGATCTGCGAACGCAAATCGGGCGTTCCGGAGGTCTTTGGTCACATAGGAAGCTTCGGGTGCTACTTGCCCCGCGGGATACCGTGCAGCGACATTCAGCGGGTCAACGTAATGCTCGTCTTCACCTTCTCGCTCTGGGGGAAATTGGTGGGGGAGCGAGGGTTTCACGAGGTACTAATCTTCCTCACAAAATTTTTTCTTATTTGAATAGGATTCGTATGTAACAAAAACAATAAACTTTCACAAAAAAAAAAAAAAAAAAGTTTTATTTGCGTCCCGAGCCTCTGTTTAAGTTGGGAGCTATCCCGAAACACACTTCTATTCTGGGATTGACGTCTAGACATATAGGTATAATTTAGCAATATCTCACAGCTCAAAATATCTCCCACGACGTAAACATCGCACGAAAGATATCTGTATTTTTCGAAAATTCTGTGCAGTCGTTAAGGTCATTTGTAGCCTACGTTTTCCATCTAGACAAAAAAAAATTGTTTTTAGGGAGTTCATTGTCACGCCTTCTACCTTGAAATACATAACTACCAGGAAAACCGGCGGAACTTACACATTGCTGCTGCACCGTTTTAACCGCCGAAGGGGTGCAACGCCAAGCGGCCGGGTCGCTCTAGATCAGATTTCAGAATCACAACTCTCAACTCTGTTTCCCTCGCTTTTAATTCACGCCTTCTACTCCACGACCTGCCAAGCACAGCAGAGAACGCAGCTGTGGTTCGCGTCTGGTAACCCACGGGGCGGAGTTTCTCGAGCGACAATTCAACCAATGCGTAACACTTTCGCTCCGGAGAGTTAGGCACACAGATGAACACAGACAAATACCAAGCGCCTGCCCTGTATTTCACGGTATTACCGATAACCCTCTTTTGATTGCGTAATCGGTTGCTTTTTACGCAAGTATTTTCAGTTGAAAGCATCACCCTGACACCCAGGGTCCCGCTCAATATTTCTCGCACATTTAACCTAGTTAAGAAAATACACCGCTTCCAGCTGTGTTAATTACATAATGTATGACGTGTGGGTATTCATGGTGACCTCTTTCAGCAACATTTTTAAATATAAAAACATACACGACTGCAACTTTATGCAGCTGGCGGACCCTCATTTTGCTTTATTTCTCGACCCTGGCACGGCATGCGAGCACGTGTTTTTTTTGTTTTTTTTTCTTTTTCGTTTTGAGTTTACGTTCGCGTTACTTCAATTATGTCAAAGAATTGTGTCATTTCAGTTCGA